CGCTTTTTATTTACATTCGACGCGGCAGGCAGTGTCGTTTTGTATGGGCTTGGGTAATTGCGCCCGTAATTGCAGACCGTTGTTGCGCAAAGATGCACGAGGTTTTTCTATTAATTATGCCGAGTGACTGGGAAAACAACGTCGGGTTCCCCGAGGAAACCAGCAAAAGCCCGCGGATCCAATCTGTTAATATCACGTTAAAACCTTGCCTGATTGTCGGGAAAAAATTAATTACCGCCTGGCGGACGGATATAGGGAATCGTACGTTGCTGTTACGATTCAATTAATCGCCGATTGGCTGGAAGAAAAAAACAACCTGCGAACTCGAAACGAACTGATAAGCTACTGTTTGGTTTGATTCACTCGGTTATGTTTACCCTCACATTTCGAGAGTCAGACGAACGAATTAATCTGGCGCGTTCTTTCATTCTTTCGTCAACGTCTAACGTCTTTTACTTTCACAATTTTTAACGGTATTTTGAAAATATCTACTCTTTGAACACAGCTACACGATGATCTAATAAAATTCTAGTTTAAAAAAATATACTACAGTTTAAGTTTCTAATTATAATCTATCATAATTCAAATTTATAATAAAAATTCATTACAATTAAATTTGATATTAAAAGTGAATTATAACTGATTCGCCCTCATTCAAAATCAATTCATTTAAATTTCTATTAGAAATCTATTATAATTGAAAATTTCTGGTTAAATTTCATAAATATTGAAAATACACTAAAATTTAAATTTTTATAAAAAATCTATCATAATTCACAGTCCCTAGTTAACCTCCAATTCACGATTATTTAGACTTCAGTGATGCGTTTTTGGAGAATTATTCGATAAATTAATTTCGTACGACACATATTTTACCAAAAATCTAAATCAGAGTATACTTGTTACTTTTATAAAGAGTAATGTATGCCAGTCACGTTTAATGCTTCGTACATCTAGTGTTCAAATAATCGGTTGTCCATAAATAGCTTCACTTTTCACATTGTCATCTTGTAAAATAAACTAATTTGCAGTAATAGCCAATTACGAGCAATCAAGCTGAATTATACCTACTTGAATCTCATGTTCTTTCGAAAAAATAAACCGTGCATCTCATGAAAGCTGACGATCATTAAGTTCTCAGATGAACGTCAAATCAGAAAGTTAATTACTCAATACAATCTTCGAGCATCATTTTCGTAGTTATTACGTTACTGAATCAAATAAATTACGGAAAGGGCCAACTACAAAGCAGTCGTTTGCAAAACACTTAAGATAATAAGCCCTACACCCAATATGCTTTTATATCTAAAGAAAAAATTATTTTATATTAATTATATTATTATAATTTATACCTAAAAAAAATTATATCCGGACGACGGACAAGAGACAAGGATTTACAAATAAAATTTTATTCGCCATTATTGAAGAAATATCCAATTGAATGAAAATTTATCTACATAACAATATATATATATATATTTATCTGAACAAGATTTTATTCGAATAAAAATTCATTCGAATAAGAAGTTAATTCTTATTCAAATAAAAAGTCATTCGGATAAGAATTTATTTGTAAAAGCGTTAATTCGGAAGGTGACACGATAATACGAATAAATAGATAAAATAATTTGTAACGAATAATGGATAATTGTTATTCGAGTAAAATATTCGACTAGATTCGTTCGAATTGTTTTAGACAAATATTTACTCGATAGCGATCGAAAGTGAAACAGTGTGATAGATCCACGCATGAATAAAACATTGTCAAAACCACTCCTTCGCCATAACACCAAACAAATTAGACCGTGCACACTTGTAATCTGCGAAGCTGGGTTCACCGCAGCGAAAGTCTTCGCGCCTCGGAACCCACAAAAACGTATACATACATATCCTGAACGAAGCGCGACACCGTCAACCATAAATTTGCCACAGAAAAATAGCCCCGTCGACGTCCCACGCCATAAACAATCGAAGCAGCGAACGTGTGAAGCAATACCGTAGAAAATATTGTTGCCGGCATCGATCTGCATTCTGAATTAAACATGACCGCGGCTCCTGCGCATTATGCTTGTAATTGAGACCGTTAAAACCGAGATTTCTCGGAGCCCGCAACAAAAGGAAACGCAGGGCGAGCGAGTTGGCAAAAAAGGCGAAGGGGAAATTCCCGGAATGATTTTTCGCGTAATTATTGCGGCGTTCCATCAGCGGAAATAGATGGTGAAATTGAATATGGGGGTGCTGGTTCATTTACGAGTCGAAAGTATGCTCGCGTTTTAACGAATGCCGCCGGCCGTAGCCGCGGCCCGATTTATTATGCATGTATTACGGCGTGCGCACGCGATGCAGTTACCTATGTACGTAGAAACGTATCGTTCCGGCCGGCACATGAGATACACTCTCGATTTTATGGTTTATATGTATACTTTCGCCGTTCACTTTCGTATCGGATGATCCGTCTGCGCTCATGATTTTTCTGGCCGCGGTAAGGCGTCATCGGTACCGTTCGCGCGGCTCGAGCCTCCCGGGATTTTATCTTCGTTCGAGCACAATGCTATTCGCGAGCCGAGCCGTCCCGGTTTCTCGTTTCTCCCACGGTCTTTCGTAATCGTTAACACCGCAGATCGTTCGTGGTCTATGCTAAAATCTTGCGATTCGCGGATATCGAAGATTTCGTTGAGCGAGGGAGGAATATTTACTCTGCAACGTATCGCAGTTTCCATTTTCTGTGCAGTAGTGACGCGCGCGATGCTCGGTCGATGGTTGGGCAGAGATTGTGCAGCAGATTGTGCTGCTTTGTAAAATAATTGGAAACGCGAGCTCGAGAAATGTGTTGAACAATTAATTTTCGGGCTTTACGATGTTAATGTCAGTTTCTGACAATGACATTGACGAAAATGTGCAAAAATGGCTATGCGAGAGAAGCGTATAGAGTGTTCATTTGAAAACTTGTGTTTTCAACCTGGAGGTTGTTGTATCCTACACAAATGAATTTGTTTTGGCGCGCGTTTCCGTGTATTATAAAAAATGCATGGCACTCCATTTAAAAAACTGAAAGTCGTCTTTCTAAAGTGAATTTCTAAAGAAAAATGCAGTCAAAAAAGATTAGATAGACGTAACTGTATTTTATATTATAGTAGTCGATCTGATACACCAACAACAAAAATTACATTACTTTCATTTTATTCCAATATTTACCGTTTGCAGGAAAAACGCTGGCTAGTGTTAACGTGAACACCGTGTATACGTGTCCATATTGTTTGTAATTGGCCCTTCCTATAATTACACTGCGAATTTTATGCAACTATGATCAAAATAAGTAGAAAAAAAATAAAAATATCTAAACACATTAGAAAAACTTATGAGAAACGTAATCCTATTTTCTCCCTAATTTATTAAAATTATTAAAAACAAAAGACAGGTTTTTATTTCATTTCTATTTCGTAGAATTAAGTTAGACAATTTTTATTGCACACAAAGGTCCGCCGACATTTATCTAATTCTGTAAAACGATAATGTCGAAAGTCGAATGTTCGAAATGTATTGAAAAATTCATTTTCTGCTTTCACAACGTTATGGACGTTATGTACGTTTATGTTGTTTGTTCAGGTAACGATTAGTTACGGTAATTTGTTTTGTTCTACAAAATAATACTATGGAGAACCATGTTTAAAGAACCTATTAAAAACAAAACTTACTTTATCGGATAAATCTTTTTAGTATATTTTTCTTGGAAGAGAAGAATATATTATATTTTTACTAAAATATGCTAATAATAAAAAAAACCTTTCTATTGAATACCATGGCAATAACACGATGATTAATTGCGAGAACTATTCTGATTTCGTAGAACAAACGGGCCATTGGCGAGATTCCAAAAGCCAAGCCACTCTGGGATACAAAGGGGTAAAAATGCAGGAAATGAACCTCAAAGAATTTCAATCTTGTGAACGGAGTGAAATGTTGGGCAGTAAATTCTTCTAGATTGAACGTGAAATAGAATAGAGAAATATTGAACGGATTCTTTGATGTGCTATTAGTATCAATAAACACTTCATACTTTCTCATTTTACTATAATACACTTCAAACAAAATTAAAAACCTTGACAAATATCACTGTTTTCTTCAATTCCTTCTGGTTTCAAAAATATTTTCAAAAATAAGTTACACTGTGAAAGCTGTTGCTATTGCAAACGAAATCTTTAAATCTCTACATTAATCATCATTGACATAAGCGACTTGTAGTTCAAAAAATGTTGTACTTCAATTTCGTGCACACAATCTTCAAAAATTTGTTACGCTATGAAAGGTTCATGTGATTGCAAACAAAATTAAAAATCCTGGCACCAATCATCTCATTAGCTCTAGTTAGCTACTTGTGGTTAAAAAATATATAATGTACTTCCTTTTAGTGCACACAATTCACACGTTTCAATCTTTAATACATAATCCTTCAGCAAGAATGTCTCTATAGTTAAATGTCGAAATCAAATGAGAAATCCATCTAGGTTTCCTCGCGTTTACAAATAAATAAGTAAATAAATAAATATTATAAAATTTTCAAAACTAACATGCAGCATGGAACTTCTGGTTCAAGAAATAGTACACTTCGTCCCAAAAACTTCTGCAGAAATAATTTGCAATGTCGAAATTATGATCATTTGCTGAAATGACTTTTCATTTGAAAGACAATGCACTTCCTTTCGGATCGCAGAAATCCCAACAAATAATTAACAGTCTAAAAAGTATCATTTATACGATCGATATAGCTTGTCAGAACGAATTTTCCGATCTCGTGTTTTATAGTTATGTCATCCAGGCACACGTCGGACAAATTCATTTGAGAAATTATGATTAATTCGGTATAATTGATATTTCGACGCGGCAGAGGGATATAATATCGCGTGTTTCCCGATGATCGATCATCGCGGTTACAATTATCGGGTGTGAAAAACAGGCTCGCCACGTGATCGGCGGTCGGGACGTAATGGTGGAATACTTACCTCGTAATCGACGGTCGGGCTGAAATAGGGCGGCGTGGTTGTTCTGAGCGTGCTGGCCGGCGTGGAGGAGGTCAGAACGTCGATGGATCTTTTGTTAACGTTGACTCTTGGCGATTCCACGTCTACCCAGTACGTGCTGTAGTCCTGCGCGAAAGTCGACCTGCGGCACGAGGAAATCGAAAGAAACGGTCACTGAAAGAATCTTCGTCTGACCAGTGAAAGGAGAGCGGAGTCGCTCGAGTGCCTAATCGACTTTACCTGTGCGCGCAAGTGTACATTTCTAAAAATCGAACAAAAATGTCGTTCTTTCGGTGCATCCTCGCACAAGGTCTAACGAAATTAATCAGATCCGTCATGACTTAGAGAACTTCTTATTAGACCTTCTATTCAATAATTCTGTTTATTATAAGCGCATGAGATCTGCAATGTGTTGATGAACGTACGAAAATCGTGGATCTTGTTATTCCTTTAATTGATTTTGCAAAATGATCTACATACATGTCTGTACTATAATTACTACATGTGAAGTAGAATTAAAAATTATACGACACACACACACACACACACTGGTTAGTAGATCTTCTTGCTCTTTAACTGATCTAAAAAATTGTAACATCAAGTGATCTCTAGATCTTCTTGTTCTTTAATCGATTTCATACAAATTCAACCATTAAATGATCTTTATACATGTCTATTCAAATTGACTATTATTACAAAGTATACTACACTAGTTAGTAGATCTCTTTGCTTTTTAATTGATCTAAAAAATTGTAACATTAAGTGATCTCTAGATCTTCTTGTTCTTTAATCGATTTCATACAAATTCAACCATTAAATGATCTTTATACATGTCTATTCAAATTGACTATTATTACAAAGTATACTACACTAGTTAGTAGATCTCTTTGCTTTTTAATTGATCTAAAAAATTGTAACATTAAGTGATCTCTAGATCTTCTTGTTCTTTAATCGATTTCATACAAATTCATCCCATTAAATGATCTTTATACATGTCTATTCAAATTGACTATTATTACAAAGTATACTACACTAGTTAGTAGATCTCTTTGCTTTTTAATTGATCTAAAAAATTGTAACATTAAGTGATCTCTAGATCTTCTTGTTCTTTAATCGATTTCATACAAATTCACAACCATTAAATGATCTTCATTCGTGTTTGTTCATAATTAAGTACTCTGTGTTGTCGAGATTGATCTCGCAAAAATTGCAACACTAAATGATTATAAAAACAACAACTTTATAAAATATATAATTTCATAAAGAATATCGAAGTATATGTATATCCTTTTCACCAGTTAGTTTAGACGAGTTAAATTTCAAGATCGAATAAAGTTTGTAATCGATTCAATTGAAATTATAAAAACAATTAATACAGTCGTCGCGAAGAGATGGTAACATTTTGTGTTATCGCGAGCATATAAAACAGCTAACCGGTTATTATACACATTTGCTTTTAATCTAGCCATTTCATATACTCGCGAGGCTGAACATGATTCAATGAATCCTAGATCCCCCATAAAAGGAATATAAAGTCTTATTGTCTCCATAAACGTACTCCACGGTCTCACGATAAAAGATGAAACTGTTACTCGTGCACCGTGTCTCCTAACACCTCGACTAATTTATCCACAAAATCTCGCACCTCGCCAACACCATATTTATTATTACCATAAACCGAGCGATCATCTCCGACAGATTTTCGCGCCGAGTCTTATCGCGTTCGGAGAGAAACAGTCGATGTCTCGTTATACGAAACTACGATACATCCATCGCGCCGGTTCCACGAACGCGTCTAGGAATCGTAGCCCGCTAGATTACGCTTCAACCGCAATCGTTCAATTACTCCGCGAAATATATCACGACAGGAAGCATCTATCATTGCCTTCGCGGTAATAGAACTCCCGTGGCCGCGCGAGAGAAGAACGAGGAAAAAAAATCACGGGGGAGGAAGAGAAAGAGGAAAAAGAACGACGGGCAACACGTCGATTCGTATTCCACATCTCTTCAGATAAGCCTATAAATTACAGCCTTCCGGGTCAACGTGACGTAACCCATTACCGTCCAGGCGTGGGAACAAAAGATAACAATGTTGAGAACGTTGAAACTCCATGGGGGTCGAGAGGAGAATTTAGGATGGGTATCGAGGATGGGTCCGAGGGTGCGTTTACGGTCGAGCTGCGATGAGAGCCACATGTGCGACGATTGGGGCGGCGTAATATGCTGCATACGATTTGTTTGTAATGGTGCGGTGTTATTAATCAGTGTTATTAATAGCGGATTTCATGCGTTTATGAGAAAAATGAGTTAATCGAGTACAAAAACATTTAAAGCATTTAGGTATATTGTTGCACCATTTCCAACTAATTAAAATGGATAAAGAAATATCCTACGTAGCTCCTGTATCTTGTAATTAGTGCAGATAATTTTTATTTCGCATAAAAATCCGCAATCTAGTTGTTAACAATTGGTTTACGGGAACTGATATGGTAAACATACATTTATAGAGAATTAATTAAATTTTGTTACCTCAGGCATTTATTATGATAAAAATCGTTGAACGTTTGAATAAGTATACGTTTCTTATTTTTATCAAGTAATATAAAATAGTTGCTTCTAGCAACTTTCCGTAAACATAGCGTTAATCTGATTTTATTTATATATATTTTGTCAAAAAGGTCCGTCGTAAGAGCGTTAATAAGCTTCTAGTAAAGAAAGTGTCGGTGTGTCTGGAAAATGAATGATTTTAGAAAGGAATTGCTATTATCTTCAAGTTTGGCGAGATAGTAATAACGAAAAATACGAATACATTGCTCTACAATGTGACGTTTGTAACGATGTTTCAATGTAAACATACCCACGCAAAAGAATCTAATGTGTTTCTACGCTTGGTTGCCATCGAAGGTTTTACTGTTTGTTGCAACTCCATCGTGAACGTACCGTAATGTTTCAGAATTATACTGTTAAATTATTCAGAATTATACTCGGTGACAAACGTCAATGTATACATACACATATAGCAATAGTAAAACAATGAAGAAGTTCCCGTTAGAGAGCTCGCAAGGTTTTCTTTGAACTATGTTCCTCGAAACAATCGATCTCCTTTTCTGCCATGAAAGGTCTACAGACTTCGAAGTCTGTAACAAAGTTTAAACGGCTTGCAGTTTTCCTGATTCCACACTTCGCCGATTGACGATAGAAGTTCGTGACGCAAAGTTTCTAGGGAATCTGTATTACCTCGTAAAAAATGATTCATAGGTTTCACAGCGTGTTGAATCAACCGAAATGTCACCACGTGTTGTGTGCCTTTATGATAATATATTTCTGATACATTTATAATGATACGTTTATGACGATAGTTTTCCGATGATTTTGTGACAATAATATTTTTAAATTGCTCTAATTATTAAATCATATTTAATGTAATATCTTACGTAATTGTTTTTATCATTGTAATTATTTTAATTTGACCTACGTGTTAATGGTAAATCAAATTAGCTCGTCATTATTAAACTCTTTTAATCAAAAATATTCAACAATATTTTGAAAATCACGAAATAAAATTACGTTCAACAATATTTCGAAAATAACGAAATAAAATTACGTTCAAAAATGAAATAAAATCATTAACATGTTCAAACTTTAACGTAAATGCATCACGGATTCCCGTTGTCCAATCGCTTCCAAATTTCGCCCACATCGATTTCCCAAAAAAGTGTCACAATTAAAATAGAAAGATTGAAAAAATATTCGACCCTTACAGCTATATTGAACACTGTATTGAACATTCATCAAGAAGCAGAAGAAACCGGCCAGCACCAGTCACGTCGATTATGAACGGAAAAGTTTCTAACGAATGTCCCCGGCCCATTCCACGCACCGTTACACGCGTTGGATTGTATTCCGCGCACGAGGTCGATGTAACCCGTGCCGCGTGCCACACGAGCTCCCGCCTAATCGTAATTCATATGCCGACAGATCGAGGCGTGTTACGTGCGCCCCGGTGCTCGAGGCTCGCGAGCACTCCGACCCAGAAATTAAACGTCCAATTAATTGTTGCTCTCGGAATGGCTGGTTCCAGGATTCCGCTTCGAACGCGCTGACGCTCGATAAAAGGCCGACCGAACCGGCGAACCGATCGCTAACATAGTTTCGTGCTGTTGCCATTTCGAGCACGTGGCTGATTCGCTCGTTTCTATCGAGTTGCACGAGAGCTGTAATAATCGTAGGAAAGAGGTTTCGTACTTGAAGATTTTTATGCATCGATGAAATTTTTTCGGGGCCTAGGTACGAGGATGAGGAGACTACGAGAGCCAATCGAGAATAAATATTTATCGAAGTTAATTATCCGAATGAATCCTTTTCAGTCGAATATTTTATTCGACTAAGAGTTATTCGTCAAAAATTATTCGAATGGAGATTGTAAAATTATTCGAGCAATAATACGAATATAATTGTTGACTGTTTTTGTCTTTACGTAATTTTATAAGAATATATTTCTACGGATGCATTCAGGATCAGCTTAATTTCATCTTAATAACTGAAACTAATGTAAGTATTGTAAAATATTAGTGCAAGAATTATTAAGCAGTTTCAGTACGTGCTTACCATTTTTGTTTTATTTTGATACGTTCAGGCAACAACAACAAAAATAGGCAATACAAAAATAGTACACAGATGTCCTTAAATTCTTCTAATATTTTCATTATTTAAAATTTCACCTACTCATTTTTATTATGAATGCATAAAATCCGCAGTCTACTGGCAGTGAACGGAACGCCGTAAGTAGGCGTGGCTTCTTTGCCCTCAATTTTGGGAGAGCCAATACAGAGACCCAGAGGATGCGGAAAAAATCTGTGGTCGGTGAAGGATATTTAGGATCTATAGAAGTCGGATTAAATTAAGAGAAAGTAGCCAGTGTCCATGGTATTTAAATGCCCCATAGAATTCATGACTGGTCTAGGACCTGCTGCAATCGCTTGATAGAAGAGTTTTAAAAAATCTTCCGCCCGTGTGTGTACAGAAACTTTATCCATGACTTCATAGTAGGAATAGACAGCGTTTAGTCGAATGAAGAAATAAATTGCACAACGGGTCGCCCTAATTGATATAAATTTTACAACCAACTGGTCGGTAGAATGGTGCATACGTACTAGTTTCTTGCAGCGCTGAAACTGGAAGACCTTTAGATCTAACAGGTCGTGACAGCCTGATACGGATTATGAGGAAATTTAATGTGAAAGTACGCCGGGGTGCTTGATTTTCGTGACTCGATTCAACCTTGCTTCCGCATGCCTATCAGTTATTCCCTTTACACGCCCAACAACCGTGTCGTTATGGCGCATTAGCCACATCGCGCGCGGCTGAATCAAAGTAAACATATTTCTCTTAAATTCCGTTCGCTGCCGGCGGTTCGGCTCGGAAACTCGCTGCGCTTTCAAATGAATGTCTCCATTCAGTTTTCTTTCGGAAGAACGATGTTCCTGCATCGTTCCTCAGGTTAGAGGCACTAGCCTGTACTCGAATACTATACATATACGAATAAATTTTCAGTGCAGAAATCTGGCAACATTAACTGTTCAGGGTATAAAATTATCTTGTAAAAATAGGAAAATTGTTTGGATCAATTATGCGGCTCTTCGCGAACTCAAACTCTCACAGGCTCTAATAACAAACTATTTCACGATAATATTCATAATTCCTCGACCGCATGGATCACGTTGTATATAATATTTATAGTTGTACTTGTAATGGAAACATTTTTTTCCATGTCGTAAATAAATTAAATAAATCAAATTTAAATTAATTTTACAGTATACAACGTTTTTTTCAGAATGCGTTCACAAAGAAATCTTTGACTTGATATTTTCAGAAGAATTATACAGTTGTCCTCAGAGACTTAAAGGCGCCAGTTTGCAATCTAGTGGCAAATTATAATATTTGTATCGGTACAGTATACAAAATTGATCAACGGGTTGCTAAGGACGCATTTCGAAGGAAATTTTTGTCCGGATATTTGAAGCAGAATTATGTATAAATGATTAACGATAACTACTCGTTCAATGATTTATCAACATGGAAACCTCTGACAAAACATTGGACATAGAATTTTCTACAAGTGTCCTCGTACATAAGGACGCTAGGTTGCATTCTGTTAGTTGGCCATTTAAAATTTCTCATTTCCAGTGCACAAAAACGGTCTACAATAATTGTCCAAGGAAATCTGCAAGGAAATCCATGAACGAATTTTAAGAAACAATTTTTCTCAACCTTATTCCGATAGCAAAGATTCCAATAGCAAATTGCACAATATTCTCGAGTGACAGTGTACAAAACTGGTCAACAATAACTATTCATGGATGCATTCATAAAAATACCAGTGTTAAAACCAGAATTGGGAATCATTCGAATTATTTCGAATAATCCTCTTTTCTTTCTTTTTTCATCCCGTTAAACGCGAATAAACATTATTATTATTAAAAAATATTTATCTAATATAATTATCCGAATGAGTACTTTTTAGTCGAATGTTTTATTCGAATAACAATTATTTCATTCCTTATAAATTATTCTATCGATTTATTCGAATAATTCTTAATTCGAGTACATCATTCGAATAATTCTTAATTCGAGTACATGATTCGAATAATTCTTAATTCGAGTACATTATTCGAATCATTCTTAATTCGAGGATACTATTCGAATAATTCTTAATTCGGGTACTTTATGCGAATAATTCTTAATTCGAGTCATTATTCGAATCATTTTTAATTCGAGTATACTATTCGAATAACTCTTAATTCAAGTACATTATTCGAATAATTCTTCATTCGAATCCATCATTCGAATGATTCTTAATTCGGATACATTATTCGAATAATTCTTAATTGGGATACATTATTCGAATAATTCTTTATTCTTTACATAATTGTATAAAAATATATTTATACGAATACAATTCAAGATCAGTTCAATTAAAACTACTATAGAATGATGAAATCGTCGATGGCTTCCTCTGCATCCGTAAAAAGAATTATTTAATTATGCATCAATGATCAATCTACCCAAGAATAAAGAAAACTTTCCGATGCAACATTTCAAGAAATGTCGATTGTAAAAAAAGAAAACGTGAATGAAAGAAATCGATAAACTATGTGAAAGAAACACTTTATACTGTATAATTTTTATTCGAATATTTTCCATATGAATTCCTGAATTTTCTCTGAATAAAAATTCGTACTCGAATAAAATCTTATAAAAATAAAATTTTCAACTCTGGTTAGAAGCCAGCTTGACAGGTATTGACATTGTGTAGCCTGTTCCCAGGACGTTGTTAATCCTGCGCAGACGTTCTATACTCACTTGAAAACAATGGTTCCCTCGTAATCGGCCGGTGCCTCCCAATCGAATTCGAGATTATGCTTCTTGCTGGTGTTCGTGTGAGTCACCGCGTTCTGTACACAGCAGAGAAGGAAAATATTTCACCGGCAGGCAAAACACGGTAGAACGTGTCCTTCGACAAACTAGCGACACACGTGAGTCACTCGCAGCCTTGAGATCTTTCGCTGCGATCCGAACGATTTCATCGTGGACACACGTTTGCACGAATTATCTACGATCGAACGAGCGAACGAGGGCAGCAGTGCCGTTTATCGAAGGAACCTTTCCCCCGATACAGTAAATTCTCCCTAATTGACCCTCAGCTTGTACACAAAAATGGACAATTTGGGGAGAGAAGAGGAGATACGATTATTCTAGCTTTACGGCTTGTTCTTATAGTTGTTGACAATCGGTAACTATAAAAACGAGTCTCGAGGCTCGAATAATCGTATCTCCTCTTCCCAAATTGTCCACTTCTGTGTACAATCTGAGGGTCAATTAGGGAGAATTTACTGTATTACGCTCGCGCCAATTAGAGGATCTTCCTCGGAGACTTCAATGCTGGGACGCGCTCCGTGAGCAGATGCTTTGGAAGTGCGGTGACTTCGAAGAGTATTTTGACGTTAGATTTTCTTATGGTATTGTAGTTCTAGCGTTCAAATTAGTTCGCAGAAAAATTACGATACTAGACCGTGGACCTCGGGCATTTACGACGAAAATCCGCAGCTCAAGTGTGGAACGCTAAAAGCGTTTAAAGAATGTAGAAACATTATTGTATTTTTAATCGATTACAATTATTAAGGACAGAAATAATTTTGTCTATTGCAGCTACTATCAATTCATGCAAACAATTTTTTACTTTGCACAAAAGTTCACAGTCTAATGCTTAAGACACTGAATTTATCTATTATAATACCACTGACGACAGTTTTGTATTATAGATGCAAATAAAATTCTCTTTATATACATATATAATAAAAAATTCTGCAGAATTTAGAGGGCATACCAGCATCGTTATACTGCAAGTCTTAGTGCAAGTTCGTATTCCCGCAGACTCATTTCTAAACTCGAGGACAAAACATAAATATGTGTGACTCGTTAGCAAGATTGCAACCGTGCAAACACAATGGGCATTCCATTGAACTCGATTGATGTTTCTGATTGAATTATACTTTGCTCGTGTTCACCTTGAATGCAGGAGCATTGTATTGCCAAGATTCATCCGTGTCTTGTGTCAATCTCACACATTTTTTGCTGATTCTGAATAGACAGAACGTTTTTCACGTGACGCGGCGGTTAGGATAGTGGAGCCGATTTGGGGTGATCAATCCTTTTGCCTTCGGCATAATTAACTCTATATTTATCGATTATTTTATACGATTTTTTATGCTTTTATTTCGCTCGTCTTTTAAATTAAATTTTGTTTTGTTTATTTCTGAATCAAAAAATTGTTGTATTCTTTCATTTTGTTCATTTCAGGAAAAAAGAAAAATTGCATTCTTTTATTTGATTCATTCTTTAATAAAAGAATGTTTGAAAATTTCATAGATCTTGTTCGATAAATATAAAGTTAATTATGCCCGAAAACAAATCAAAGGCGCAGGGGAATTGTTCACCACACAATAACCAGCACCACTACCCTATTCAAGAACACTTTTGACTTCAATTCAGTATTTGATTTTCAAAGAGGATATTCACAACGTTCATCATTCGTTTCCCAACGTGTAATTGATTGAGAAGGACGAAGATCATCTTAGTTAACCTTAGAGTGGTGACGTGCGTCAAATGGACTCCTAGCACTAGTCATGATGTACGTCAAATTGACTACTACTACAATAGCACTAACTTGACGGCAAATTGACTCCGTATCAATAATGATGATCTGATGTCAAATTGACTCCGTATTGGTAGTGATGCCTTGAAGCCAAATTGACTCCGTATCAATTAATGGCGACTCAATTTAACGATGAATCACCATCATTGATACGAAGTCAATTTGACATCACGATATCACTAGTGGTGTCAACCCTTTTATCGTTGTTAGCTACACTTGAGAAAATGTTGATTTCTGAATATTTTTAATAAATAATAAATAATTTTGATAATCCATTTCTTCCTCCTTCTTGAATTTCCGAATTATAAGGTTTTTTAAAATTTATGTAATTTCTCTCTTTCTCCCTCTCTCTCCCTCTCTCTCTCTCTCTCTCTCTCTCATATCGAAACTATAATATAATTATATATTTAATATTTCGCTCAGATACACGCGACTCTTTCGGTCGGAACTAAGAGGGTTAAAACAGTGATCACCGCTTGAGGATTGAGCTCGCCTGACTATAATTTAGTGTTCATTTTCAAAGAAGAAATTCATGTAATCGATCATTCATTTTTCCGTCACACTGATCTTTTTCAAGGGTTAAATTCGGCTAAGAAAAAATAACGGACATCGAAGCCGACGAATACAGTGCAACGACAAGCTCTTATCATATTCAAAAAAAATATCTTTCCTGCTCCCTTCTCTAAATTTGTCACCAATACCTCGACTGTCATTTGCTCACGGAGCCATCGGTATCCCCGCCAGGTTAACAAGTAGTACAATGAGTCGTGAAAGCGAGATTTCTCGTGACCCGGTAAGCAACGCGCGAAAAATGTTGTCCTCGATCGTCCGGGAACGTGATCCTCTAACTGACCCAAGCAATCAATTCTCTTCGGCTTGCACGTTCAGTCGCGCGATCTCTCACCTTTACACCGTCCGTGCACTCTATGGTCCTCGCGAATTCAGGCAGATTCGCGAACTCGCCGACCAGTTCGCCGGTCGCGAAGTCTTTTGCTAGAATCATGAAGCCTTCGTAAGCTAATCCTTGAGGGCTCCCCAGAATTAAGCGGACCCTGCCCTGTCCTGCAGCCGGTAGCACCTGATAAGGAGCAGGATAAGCGTCCTGCTTGGAACTTCCAGGATGTCGAGGAAGAAGGTCTTTGCATGCACTTTGCGGTGCACCATTCGGCAGAGCCAATGTGGTAGCCATGATGCTCAACAGGATCAGAACTACCCCTTTCGTGTCTGCAACAGACAAACATTCTGCGAATAATTATCATTCACATACAGTAGAAAATACATTTCCGTAAGATAAAATGAAGATCATATGTCCTGATCAGAATTGTGCAGAATTCGAATCGAATTAGTCAAGGAATTATAATTGCAAAGTAATTCAATTACACTAGAACTAA